ACTGTATAATTCAATAAACTGCGCAATTGAAATTAACAGTTAATTAAGCATATTTTTGTATACTCTAAGCCAGACAAATGTTCATAATTATGGAACTCTGTTACTATTGTTAGGAGAATAAAATCCAGTAGTCCCAGAATAAAATTATTTTTTCATTTCATTTCATTCATTCAGGAGAAAAATAAAAAATATACATAAACCACTAATAGCCCACGAAGGGTCTAGGGTTCATTACAATGTGAGGAAGTACTGTTACAAGGCCAACGGTTGTGCAGGGAGGTGATTGGGCCGATATCACGCTCTTTCCCCTTTAATTATTATTTTAAATTAAGAGTAGCCACTTAATAGAGGCTAGGTGTGTCCCAGAAGGGTCTCCCGACCCCAGGATCGATCCACGGCTAATGAAAAATTACTAGTCATCAGCCGTATTCGAACCCGAGCTCTGGAAGTCAGTGCTCACCCATAGAGCTACCCCACTCATTAGAAAAATATACATACAAAAAATAATAAATAATTATTATATTTCTAGTGGATCTATTACTACTGTTTTTGTTTTTTGTCACTCGGCCAAAATTTTAGAGGAGAATAATAATAATAATAAAAGGCTTAGGGAACCCGAAGGTTCGATCCTGACACCACCATTCGCTTATTACACACCTCCCTCCACTGTTCGCCATCCAAACCTAGTCCCTTCAGATTGACTTTAATGTAATCTCCCCACCTTCACTTTGGTCAACCCCCCGGACGTTTACCATTCGGCACAGCAAATATTAACCTTTTAGGAATTCTCTCGTTACTAAGCCCAACAACTTTAAAAGCCCATTTGATTCGGCGCGATGAAATTACCTCAATTATATTAGCCGGGTACAGTTCACGCAATTCGTCATTGGTTAACCGTCTGAACTCTCCGGTTAAGTCATCCTTCTTCGGTCCAAATATTCTATGCAATACTTAATACGCAATCCTTGTAGAGGAGAAATAACACTTAAAATAATTAATGAATTATGTGTGTAATGGAGCATTACAAAAAACATGGCAGAAGTTCTCATTATTGAAATGAATTTACACATTAAAGAGACACAAAAGTTTTGAGTTTATAAATTTTCACAGATTTGCTTTATTATTTTGTCCTAATTATAGCTAATCCGAGCAATATGATTAAATTGTTTATTAAAATTGTAAATCATCATTTATAGTTCACATACATTAAATAATATATTTTGGTACTCAGATTCAAAAATATTCAACTAATTAAAATAGTTTTTTTCCTTGAGTTTATATTCTTTGACAGGGCTGTATGTTAACACTCATCAAAAAATTAACTTTTTAGAAATAAATATCATAAACTCTAATGTGATTATTTTTTGCACCTGAAAAAGATAATCTTCAAAATCATGGTCTAATAATTGAATTTGATGAAGAATTATAAGGTGTATCAATAAAAAAAACAAGATATAAAAGGATTGAATTAGTCATAATAAAAACAGAAATTGTAATTCAAAAGGAGTATTCATTCAACCAGTGCTAAGTATTGTAAACCTCTTAAATGTGTAAAGTCAAGAAAATTATTTACAAAATGTGTGTTATATATGGCCGCTAGCACTCTAGATTTTAACGCAGCTTAGGCTCTTGTAAAGTGTTGCTAACTTCTACACATGGAGTAGATTATTGTAAGGTTTTGATTCTTTGTTCTTTATTTGTGTACAATATCCACAGATTTGGAATGTTAAGACAGCTAGAATTCATCAAGTTCATTGCCTTCTGAATCATATGAATCTTCATTCATGCTTTCTAATAAAGCATTTTTAACCAAATAATTCAGCAACCCAGTATTTTCACTTCACTCTGGCATTTTAAAAATAAATCAAAACGTTAGTAGATCAATTAAGAACTCAAAAACTTTGTTTACAAAACTTTACTATAACTAATAACACTTTAGCACGATAGGTTATTAACCATTCATTCAAAATTTATGCTGACTGCTTATCATGATAGCACATTAAGCACTTACAACAAATGCACGAATACCCTTAATTTACAAAATAAAAATTAACAAACAAGTTTTCAATATTATGAATTTTATATTTTAATATATTATACTTTACATAAAACACAAATTGACAAAAAGAAATTAGAATACTATATACAGATCATTTAAAACATAATAAGTGAAATATAAATTAGGACATTACTTAATTACTAAATAAATACAACCTTTTAATTTTCGTGAAATAAAAAAAAAACATTAAAAAAATAAAAAGACAAAATAACAATTTATTAAAAGATTTAATTAGAAAACAGAGTTAAATCTACTTTATATAAACAAAATCTATCACAGTTAAAAATGAATGCACCTTTAAACACTACATTAGAATATAAACTATAGACTGAAAAAACAGAACAGTATGCATTGTACATACATCTTATGTATAAACATAATAAATACTTATGTTTATGAAATCGCATAAGTACATGCATACATTAAATGGTATCATCACTTCCAGATCAGTATAAATCCCAACTTATCAGAGTAAAAAAATGCAAACAATATATTTTTCTTATTTAATAAATTTCTAAAAGGCTAAATAGAAACTAAGTGATAAACTGATAATAAATAAATAAATTAAAAAAAAAAATGTTAAACATAATTCAGCCCATAATAGTGCGGGTGAATAACTTCTCATCAGAAAATATTTACAACCAGAAAAACGATTCAGTAAACAACAAAATATTTATTACTAACAATACGCTTAAATTTTAAGTATTTATCATAATTAATTGAAAAAAAAATTAATAGTAATTCCTCTAAAATTTTATATAAAGTAAATCTTAAAAGTTTTATTGAACAATTATAGTCTTTATTATTATTTTTTTCATTCCATTTACCAATGTGGTTTTCTCTGTGCTCAAAATATCAGAATAAATAAATAGTATTAATCTTTCATCTTTTATTTTCTCATTAAATAAAAAAGTGAGGTTAATGCAATATTTACCATTTTTGATGCCAGGAATACCAAAATGAGATAAAATTAAAAGATGGATGTAATACGGAAAAATAGTTACTTTTTAATTCTAAGGCAACACAACTCTATAAACATATACGCTATAACGAATAATTTCAATATTTTTTTTTCTTCTGTATGCCAACCAATCCAATGAATGAACACGTTACAATATAATATGCTATATTATAAACATCAAAAGGGTACTAAACAATTTATTTTTTGTTTTAGTACCCAGGTCATACCAAACCAGAATATGCAACAATGCTGCCAGATTTAGAAAATAAAATAATAGTATAGTTTTAAAAAAAAAATCAACAAATAAATTGTCTAAATAAAAATGCTTTTTGAGATTGGCCACCACGAATCTAAATCTAAATTTCCGAAGTTATTAATTAAATATTATCATCAATGAATACTTATAGATATGACAAAATTCACGTTGTGACTAGGCTATAACAGTCAACAGCCATATCAATGTCAAGGAGGCGTATTTGTAAATTTGTTAAACTGTGAAAACAGTTGAGTTTTATATAATGGTGGCACATGTAATAGTAAAATCACTAAAATACAAATGGAAAAATTTACAAATACACCATTTTAGTTGCATTCGACCGACAATATCAAATTTATATTCTTTTAACAATTAAATTACCCTGTTTTAATAATAATAATTTTTGATATATCATATTCTTTGATAATTATCCTAGTTTAATTATAAATGGAAAAAAAGTATTCATTAACAAATTAAATAATGTAAAAGCGGTTCCCATAAATAAATATAGACTAAAGCACATCACCCATTTATCCGCTTCGGCCGACTTAAAAACATAAATATGAATGAATAGATAGCTATTTGGATTGAATAGTTACTTTTTAAGTTTTGCCGAGGGAAGCCAGAGCACAGTTCTTAAGTCTTACTTACACAAATAGGCATTAATATAATAATTTGTTTTAAAGGGGCAACAGTCCCAGAATAATAAAATATTTTTTCATTTTCATTAATAATGTATGTCGCAACAGCATTCAGTTAGCTCAAACAGAATAATTTATAATTTATGTTAAAAAATTGTTAATAACAATATGAAATAGATAATTAAAAAATTTATATCATGTGTTTTTTTCCCTGCACTTTGAAACAAACAGCTGTATGGTTGATTTTTTTTCCAATTCTAACCTAACATCAACAGTAATTATGATAAAGCAAAAAAAAAAAAAAAAAAAAATTGACTCTAAACCAGATAGTATATAAAAAAAACCTCAGCCTCGATGAGTTTAAATAATCAACGCATCCTACTAAACATTAGTAGGTATTAAGAAAGAAATTACATCACCTAAATTGAAAACTAACGTCTTTATACCATTTAAAAAAGATTTATGAGAATCTTACAAATTAATCTCTATATGTGGATGACAGATAACATAATTTCTAAATGGTTTAAAGATAATATCATAGGTTTATTGCAAAAATTCACAAAGTGCATTCTAGATATAGGTTCATTTAAATGAAACAAAATCTTTTATTTATCGTATATAGTTACACTAAATGCACAATCTCCTTACACCGCATCATCAATTCATCAAAGCTCTTAATTATTTGAGGTTTTAGCACTTAATGACTTTTTAAAATGAACCGACGATATTTTTTTTTTTTTCAAACTTACAAGTAATCAGTAACTTTATATAATTAATGAACAATCGTAAAATTTTGTGAGAAAAAAAAATACAATTCTTTTGTATTTTATGGTTGATAAAAAAATATTACTTTTTATTTTAAAGTAATAATATATTCACTACTAGAGTGATTTTACTTAATACTACAATAGTAATTTTAACGAGATATGATATCTCCATAAAAATTTATTATCTATAAATGCTTATTTATGTATGCACAATAAATATTGCATCACATACGTATTTCATTGATATCATTATGAAAATGTATATGGAAAAAATCTCTTAATATATATCATATATAATGAGTAACATTAACATTACATAAATTTAACATTCAATAAATCTCATAATACTATATTATATTAAATATATAAGTGTGATTCTTAATCATTTATTTTTTTCTGATTTTGGATACAGTAAAACCTCAATTAGGCAATGATAAATTGGCCTTGCTTCAAATTAACCAACTGAAAATTTTTATTGATGAAATAATTTCCAACAAAGGAACAGATTAAAATAATATTAACCTATGAACATTTTTAGATAGAAATGATCATGTTACAAAATCAATTCTTCGGCAAATTGTGGAGAGGGAGTGAAACAACATGTCTAGCTATAATAGAAAATTCATTTTCTCTTTTATTGGGCATGGATTCACACAGAGGATGAGAGACTGAATTAGATGACTTTATCTTTGAAAATAGCCGAATTAGCAGTTGATCATGATTACAACGGAAACATTACTTCATCATTAAGAACATAATAGATAACACTATTTTTAATGATTCAAATTTATTTTTTATTAGGCACTTGTTTAAGATACTAATATTTGAACTTACTTGTACAAGTATTCTTTTTCCTTCGCTTCTATTCTGATAAATTAAAATGTACAATTTTTATTTATTGGTTGTACCTTCTCTTTATACTGGTAAATGGAGGTTTTACTGTGCAAGCAAAATCCAGGGGCTTATTGAGAATTGTATACATTTATTACAATCGCCAAAATTCAAAACATCCAACAATTACCACAGATTAAGGGTTTTCTTTTTATTAAAAATAAAACTCTTAAAATTTCTTAACAGTACCACTTTCATAACAACGTAGGATATATTTATAACAATATCATTGAACAGAAATATAAAAAAATATACAATCACATTTCTCACCTATACGATTTCTTTTAGATAGGCATTTCAATGTAAAACAGCCCAAGGACTGCTCAGGAAAGAAAAACATACCTTAATATATATATTTATAGTAAGTTCCTTTCTCAGAGAAGGAAACATATCCATAGTGGTAACTAGACATTTCCTTGCATTTGTACCCTTTTTGCCTCATGAAAAACATTTTAAAAAAATCTAATCAGGAGCATTCAGAATAGACTGTGAATCCAACATCATTTCTGAAGAATGGAAACTGGTGTTCAAAGATAGCGAGCTTAGTAATAATGCCGGAGGAGGCGCAGAAGCATGAGGAGGCGAAAAAGGAAAAAAGGATCCAACTTTAGGCGGGGGACCTTCGAAACCTCCCTCAACTTGTCCAGTTAACATTCGAGCGGTCAAGTCAATCTGAAAATGAAAAAAAAAAAACCTGTTATAAAATAGAATACAAATAATATAAGAAAAAAAAGTAATGAAAATGTTCTATGAACATGCTATATACAAAACAAATAAAAATATAAATAAAACACTTAAAACTATATACAATGGTAAAACAGTGAAAATATACACTTCTAAGCAAAAAGAGAGCGAAATCTATCCATATAAAATGTCAATTGAAAAAACAAAAAAAAAAAAAAAAAAACCTATACCACTAACAAACCATGAAGGTTTATATGGGTTCAGTAAAATGTGAGGAAGTACTGCTCTAGGGCACTGCCTTTTTATTTTTTAAATATTAAAATTAGTTAAAATATGAAAAGTATATGGTTAAGGTATTATTCAATAAATACCCTAAAACTTCCAGAATACGAGGAGTGCATCTGTCAGACTTATGATACTCGCAGTGCAGTATTGTATTATATTACCAGACGAGGGTTAACAGTTAAATCTTTGGTCATAGAGATGATGATTAATGAAATAAATTAAAATTAAAATTACTACAAACTTAAAACAAAAATTAATAAAACATTACCTGTGGTGGGCCACCTCCACTAATTTCTAGGATAGGAATATAGCGACAATAAGCTTGGAGCCAGAGCTGAATATTTGGAAGAGAGGGTTTGAAAGAGAGAGGATCAATCTTCTCATCAGAAGGAAAATAAAGAGGATTCACGAAGAGAGCCGCATCCCGCGAGTTGACGAGCTCGTCCCAGACGCTCCTCAAGATCAGAGGATCATTAGGCTCCTTCAAAATAATAAATTACAATATTAAATTATGAATAAATAAATAAGTGTAATGAAAATAATATTGTTTACATTATATTACATAATAATTTGCTTTCTTTATTCTGAGACAAATCCCTTTAGAGTAGAATACAACAAAAGAAATGTGAACCTTAGAAAATCAGAGCTAATATAAAAGAATAATAAAATAAGCAAATAGAAATAATAAAAGATTATAACTTAACTTCTAATATTAATCAATTCAAAAAAGAAATGAAAGAAACATGGAAAAGTGATAATTAAAATCAAACTAATAATTTATATATATTGTAATCTTTATTGAAAGTGAGTAAAAAGGTTTTAATAAATTAATGTTGAACAATTAAAAGGCAAGCTAATCTAGTTCTACAAGTGCAGAGAAAAGAAAATGGCTGCTCTGTAGTTTCCCAAGAAGGAAAATCCCAAAGAGAGACTGTAAAATTGTTACAGTGACTTTTTCATCAAAATTGGCTAACCGGAAGTGGCACTTTATATAATTGATGTTACACATTTTTCTCAAAAAAGACTCTGACAATTATGATCAAACTCGGTATATCAGTGTATTATTAAGCAATTTTAAATATAATGTAGGTTTTATTCCATTGATATTCCATATCAGGGCTTAAATGACTAATTTTCAATATTAGCTTCCCCTAAAGTACCTTTAATTTTTTCTATTTGAAATAATTAACCATTTCACATTAATCTTTGATATGAAAAATAGTTAAATAGAAAATAGAAAAGAATTTGACAATTAACTACAGGAGATATAAGAGATCGTTACGGATAATAGTTGTAATGGAGAAACCAAAGGAATACGAGAGCACCCGAGTATGCCTGAAAGATTAGGACATTGTTCCATACATAACATGAGCTTAATATAATACGGACTCCGACAATATTATGTACATATACATGTGCAGTTTTCATAAATGCTATCATTTGTATTATTAAATATTTAATTGTATAGATTAAAATTTTATATATACCAGTATTTAAACAAATAATTATACCCATAATAAAATGTAAATAAATATAACGTCTATAATTTTCACTTTCACTTCTCCTTGGTCTGAAAATACTTATTCTGCTAAGAAGAGGGTGGTAAGTGAAAGGTGTGTGATGCATAACCAGATTTTTTCCTCTACAGCTCTGACCGCACATAAATCATCACATCAGATTTTAATGAATTTAGTGCACATATATATTGGTTTAAATCCACACAATACTTACGTTAAACTCTGTAAAGATTCTTTACATCCATAGAAAAGATTAATAAGAAAACAGGTTTAACAAAAGTATATATTGCATACTTTAACAAAATATCAAAATTAAACCCCCAAAATAAATTTAACAGTTACAACCCAGTAATCTGAATATACGATTATTTAGGTCATATATATGGGGATCAACTTGCACAATTATAATACATTATAATAATTATAAAACATTTTAATGAATACAAAACTTATCTGTCAGAAACATTAACACTTGATCTTGCTATACAAAAATAACAGCTATTTTTCAAGAAAGATATGGAACTTCCGACAGAATAAACATTTGGTTGTAACACAATCCAAAACATATTTTAGAAAAATATTAACTTTTGAAATTCTATAATCATAAGAAATTGGCAATTACAACAAATTCAGAAGTTATAAAAGATCATTCATTTATTTTTTGTTAAGAAATTTGAATAGGAAAATTAAGTAATAATCAAAGTATGACTTACAGCGCTGGCAGCCATTCGGTCGCGCTCACAATCAAATAAGAAAGTATCAAAGATCGAAAGCAAGGCAGATTCCCATAGAACAGTTAGATAAGTCTCGGTGAACTGAAAATGTGTTGGGAATTGCTGGAGTAGTTGCCAACAAGAGTCCAAAAATAGAAGAAACATCGGAGACTGAAAGGATATAAAATTTGATATGTATATTAATATAATCAAGAAAGCCAATTTAAGCAATCTGTAAAAAACTTGCAATAAATTTATTCTAGAACACAAACCTGGTTGGATACATCTTGCTGATACACATGAGCAAGACGAGTGCAAAATGGGTGTCCCATAATTACCCATTCCCGTTGAACCAAAGATTGAAATCCATGAATAGTACGGAAATAAGGATCAAGTAAAAGTTGTGTTAGACAGGTCACGATACAACACGTGTCTCTTCCATCGCTTTCTATAAAACAATTTGAAGGCATCATAATTAGTTTATTAGAGTATATTAACTGATTTTTTAATGTAAAAATAAACATTTAATTTATTTATTTTTTAAAATTGACTATCAAAGAATAATTCACTATAATATGCAACTTTAGCTAAAAAACTAAAAGTATTTGAAAGAAAGGTAATAAGAAGGATTTATAGTGCTACAAGAGTCAATGGTGAATGGGAAATTAAGAGCAACGATGAAATTGAGGCTGTAGTTGAAAATAATAATATTATTAACTGTATCAAGGTAAGTAGGCTGGAAATGGGTAGGGCATGTGGTCGGAATGGAGGATGAACGGGTGCAGAAGAAAATACTGGCAGCACACTTCATTGGGAAGAGAAGAAGAGGAAGGACAAGAAGCAGGTGGAGGGAGGATGAAGTGGAGAGATATGCGAGGAAGCTAGGAGTCCGCAATTGGAAGATAACCATAGGACAGAGAGAAGTGAAGAAGATTAACTCAGGAGACCAATAATTGGCCTGTAGAGGGCCGAGGAGTAAGTGTTATGCAACTTCAGCATTTCAGCATAAATAAAATAATAAAAACCAGGAATCCAGTCGCCTTGAAGGTCCATCCAGATCTTTCAATTCCATCTCCAATTTAGGAGAGTTCGCTATCCACACTCTACAATCTTTTTCTTATAATCTAGTCATTAGTCAGTACCACTGAGACTCATAAATAACTGTTTTCGTCAAACAAATTTGAAAATTGGAGTGGTTCTTATATTGTTGGTACTTAAAAAGTTCTCCCCCACCACCAGTAAGGAAATTTTGGATCAAATAGTGGCTAGCAACTTAGCCATTTGATATAGTTGAAGAAATCAACCGACTTTGAATTTTAAGGCTTACGTATGTCCACCTCATACCAAGAAAAGTACCTCAGAAATGTCATAAATGAAAAACTATTTGGATGCAGTTATTACCATGAAATTTGGAATCAGCTAAGGCACTACAAAACATATTTTTGGCACTGAGGGATAATGTTTCCACTGTAAATACGGTGATTACATTTCTTTCCAATAGTAAATTAATGTCTCGCTATTAGTATATATTTGTTCTTATAATTAAATTGATAAAATATAATTAATAGTATTCATTATTTTAATTTTGTATTATTTCTTTCTAGATTTTGTTTATTTTTTTTTAACTAACTTCTTTCATAATTTTCTGATTTTTGTTTAATTTTGTAATTTCATTTGTAAATTGTAAACTATAAAAACATTAGAACATCACCTAATGTAAGCATAAATCTGCTTTATGCCATGAAACCAACTTCTACAAAATAGTTTCATGAATGAAGAATGCTTTATGGCACAGCTGAGACTGGTAAAACCGCCTTACATTAAAAAATGGATATCACTTTAGGAGAATCCATTTAGTATAAATGAAAGGTTGATAACCACATCAACATTCAAATCAATCTTGTTATAATCATTAAATGAGAGCCTGAAGGCGGGAAAACTATTCCTAAATAGAATTTCAACTTTTTTGTTAAGAAGATTAACGCTCTTACAATATAATAGACAGATAGATAGAAAGTAAACTTTACTCTGGGACGAGGTCCCTTATAAATAACAGTTATGAACAAAAAATAAAAACTACATCTGGCCAAAAATTACATTAAGAATATATACAGTATCTCAGTAAAAGTATATTAAAACAAGTAAAAATGACACCATTTTGAAAAAAAAATTTATTTAAATGAAAAAAAAAATAATAATAATGTAAGAATGGGTTGATTTTTAAAATTAAAACTCAATCAATTTTAACAACCATTCATCTCAGTCAAAATATGTTTCGCAATATTTATTTCATCGTATAACGTCATTTTGGGATGTGAGAAGGAATTGGTAGAGATGATATTTAAATGAGGACAAGGAAGAGGCATGGCGGATTTCAGACAGCAAGGAATTCCAGAAGGCAGTGGATCGGGCAATAAAGGAATATTTAAACGTCTTAATTCTATGGAAAGGGATATAAAGGTCGGAAACACGGGATCTTGTTTTCTGGGAGTGGACCACGGGTTTGAACTGTAGGACACTGTAGATGTAGGAAGGGTGTCGGGTGTTGATCGTTTGGAATAGGAAAGACCCAAGGAAATATTGTCTGCGGAAAGAAGAGAAGAGCCACTTTAACTCATCGTAAATGTGGGACACATGAGACTGCCTCAATGTACCAAAGATAAATCTTAATCAGTTATTTTCATGCATTTCAGACCCACTTTTATCAGAAAATGATACTGATTAATTTAATATCACTCGCATCATCTTCAAAAGTGATGAACAAGTTTCATAAATCATGAATTAAATTGAAATTTATCAAATGAATTAATTGATTAGATTTTCTATAATAATTTTCAAAAAGAGGGGGTCAACTTAAATCCATGTAGATACAGTATTTTAAACACTCATTTCTACCTACTACACATATAAAAAATAAAATATTATATTGAAATAAAAGTAAATATATCAACCTTGGAGGACAACTGTCGTATCCCTCATCAAGATATTGGCAGCTTGAACTGATTTTGCAAGGCATGCAGAGACGTACTGAAGCCATTTTGAGGATTCCAAAGAAGAAAGGAAGTGCTGGTCTTGAACCCAGAATTGTTTAATATCTTCTGGAAAAAAGCAACAAATTAATAATAAAAAAAAAGTACATTATTGAAATGATAGCTGGTATTTATAATAAAAACATCTAACACACAAATTAATGTAATTCTATCACAGAGATTTACAATGGAATGTCTAAAATATATTCTATCCTCCTGATAGTTCTGCTCATCTAACACTTTCCCAACAACATTTCACAATGATAATTATCCCAAGTAAATCTTGAAATGTCAAACTTAAACTGGTGGTGGGAACATTAAGTTTATATGAACCAGAGATATTTTCTTAGCTAACAAATTTGAATCCTTACTTATCCACTTGTGTATCTTTAAACTGAAACCCGTCGAACAGCTGACATTCTTTATTTTGGGGTTTCCTTTGAAAAATGATGTTTTATTCTTCCTGAAAGTTGTTGTTGACTTTTTTTTTTTTTAAGAGAGCTAATTTTTTTTTTTTTTCAATTTTATGAGACCCGAAAAATATATAAATAATAAACCTAACCAGCTTTTAGAAAGGATGCTATTTTGGACTTTGTAGACCATAGTGGAACAGTTTATTGTCAATAGCTACAAAAATAAGACCATGAGACACTAATTAGGTCAGTAATTGTGGATCTGAAACATGGATACAGCGGGCAAGCGTGTTAAAGCATTTCCGAGTTTAGCAGTGCCAGTTGGCATCCAGCCTAGCTTCAGAAAGTAATGAGTACTTATCTACTGATGATATATTAAGAGATCCACTACATCATAAAACAAAAATAATAAATACACACCTGGTGTACAAAGTTCTCGAAGTTTAAGATAACTGTTTTGTAACTCTCGACATGAAGGAAGATCTTTCGTGAGATCGAGAACGATCGGAGGAGCCAATCGAGGATGAGTTTTTCTCACACACTCAAGCATTATATTCTCTTGCACCCTGGAATAAATAAATAGAGCTAGGTTATAACTTTTTCATCAAAATAGTTTTTAAATTACAAAAGCATTAATTAAAAAAAAAATTTAGAATGAAAAATCAAAACAAACAAAATTTGAGATTTTTAATATTATTTTCTTACATTCAATAGGTAAGAAGGTAATATGAAGAGTATTAATGCTACCAATGCATGCTAAATATTGTAAATATGTGAAATTAGAGAAAATTATTTGATTTTTGTACCAAACAATTTAAAAAATTGACTTAACCTAATTAGGGTTATAATTCATAGAATATTAAATTAAATAGGACCAATACCAACATCATAGAGTGTAGAATTGCTTCAAAATATAAAATTAATGGTGTTTATCTTAGAGATAGCTTGAAGATGGCTTGCCGGCCGAAATGTAGCTATGTAAATTGAAATAAATATGGTGAAGAAATAAAAAAGCCTTATTGTATAATAGTATTTTCTGTTTTTTTTTTTTTTTTTTACATCATTATTATTGCTTAACATGGCATTTGCAGATAGACAAGTTTTCAATGTAATGTTTTATGATTTTTTGAAAATGTTATATAAATATAATATTCATAGAAATATAAGTGAACTACTTCAAAATAATAATTCATTTATTGATATAATATCAATATTGTTTTGTTTCATCTCTTTATTTGGAAGTAAAAAAAAAAAATATCATCAATGGCACTGTCGGTAACACTGCTAGTTTTGTAAATATTAGTGTTTTTTTTTTAAAGAAACATATTTATTTAATTTTATTGATATCCTTAACATTTTATTTTTAAGTATCATTTTTTTTTTTTTTTTTTTTTTTTTTTTTTTTTTTAATGTTGGCTTTAAGCACGTCGACCCCTTTGGGTCCATTGTGCGCCAATATTCGCTAGGTCGTCTTATTCAAAACGTTAGTCCTGTCGCTTCCGCGTATCTAAGTAGGCTGGTTGGGTTAACTGACTCAAATCTACTGGGGAGATCCATCTGTTCCTCCCCAAATAACGCCAGTCTCAGCCTTGTAAACTTGTCACATCTGCATATGATGTGAAAAGCTGTTTCATTCTCCTCCTGACAGAATCTGCATAGCGGATTCGTCATTACTCGGAGATTGAACATATGATTATTTAACTTACAGTGACCTGTGCAGATCGCTGTAAGTTTTTTAAGAGCTGCTCTGTCCATGTTCAGTAGCTGTTCACTTCTTTTTTTACATGGGCCTTTAAGGAACAGCTTCGAGTGTCTCTGTTTCTTGTCGGTCCAGTAATTCCTAAATTTGTTCCCATAGATCTCCCTGATCCTGCCCTTGGCAGTACTAAGGCTGATTCCACAGACAGGCTCGGGAGTTATAGGAATAGTATCTGAGCCCAACCTGGCTTGCTCATCAGCCATCTCGTTGCCCGGTATGCCAGAATGGCCTGGCACCCACTCCACTGCAACTCAGTTGTGCTCAGTTAGCTCGTTAAGTGCTCTATTGCATTCCTTAATGACCTTTGAATAAGCATAATAATTGTCAAGAGCACCCATTGCTGCCTGACTGTCAGTAAAGATGGTGATCTTTTTCTCAGTCACATTGGTTTGCAGTAGGTTTTGTACACAGTGGCAGATTGCCAGTATCTCGGATTGAAACACTGAAGCATACCTGCCAAGTGGTATAGAAATTTTTTCTTTTATATCTTTGCGATAGATGCCTGCTCCAGAGCCGAAGGCTGTTAGAGAGCCATCTGTGTAGCAATTTATTCCACTATTTGGTTTATGACTTCTGCTGCTATCTATCTCAACCTTATATTTTCGGTCCTGATATTCTCGGATTAGAGTGTCAGAGTGCATAGCTAGCACTCTTTCACTTCCAATCCTGTTCAGCAGTGTTGTGTGTCCTCCCTGACAGGGGACTGTTGAACAGTAAGTTGACTTGCTTATCCTGTACAGTGTAATTGTTGCCCGAGCCTCCACCTCCAGCTGCAGCGGGGGCATGCCGAGCATCACCTCCATAGCAGCCGTCAGTGTCGTGCTCATTGCGCCTGTTATCATTATACAAGCAAGCCTTTGAATCTTTCCTAATAAGGATAAGTTGGCTACAGTCTTTGCTTTGTGCCACCATAGCAAAGCTGAGTAAAGTATGATAGGTCTGACTGTTGTTGTGTACAGCCAGTATACCATTTTTGGTTTTAGCCCCCAATTCTTTCCTATCGCTCTTTTACAGGCCCATAGGCATTTGAGGGCTTTACTTGTCACGTTTTGAACGTGTTTAGTCCATGTCAGTTTATGGTCCAAAGTGACTTCAAGGTGTTTTACTTCCTTACTCAGTGTCACTTGGATACCATTGATTTCCGGCATTTTGATAGCCACCTTCTTCTTCTTGGTGAAGATACACACATTGATTTTCCTAGGGTTGATGCTTAGTCCTTTAATCCTGCACCAATTCCTAAGAATATTGAACACTGTACTGAGGATATCAGAGAGGACACTCTGATGCCTCCCTCCTATGAGGATGGCAATATCGTCAGCATATCCCTGAGCATAAATGCCTGCAGTGTTTAAGGCTTCCAATAATGAGTCAGCCACAAAACACCACAGTAGTGGAGAGAGCACACCTCCCTGAGGACATCCCCCACAGGGTTTAATCCACAGTTCCTTGTGCCCTATTTCTGATTTTAGGACTCTGTCCTCCAGCATTCTCCCAATCCATCTGGAGGTCATAGCGTCTATATCTTTTTTCCTTAGCGCATCATTTATGATGTTATAGGGAGTTCTATCAAAGGCACCCTCGATATCAACGAAGACGCCTATCATGATTTCACTCTGTTCTAAGGATTTCTCAATTCTTGTTACCAAGTTGTGAAGCGCCACCTCACAGGATTTTCCTGGTTGGTAGGCATATTGCTTTGAATGTATTGGACTAGTAGCCAATATGTGTTCCCTAATATGTCTGTCCAGTATCTTTTCCAATGTCTTCATTAAGAAAGATGACAGACATATTGGCCTAAATGCCTTGGGGTCTTCATAAGATTCCTTTCCTGGTTTAGGAATGTATCGCACTTTGGATATCCTCCACTTACATGGTAGATATCCCAGTGCTAGGCTACCTCTTAGAAGTTCCAGAAGGTATGGCCTTATTTCTGGGAGACCCTTCTGCAGCAGTGCTGGAAAGATCTCGTCCATTCCGGCAGATTTGAAAGGAGAGAACGAATTCACTGCCCATTCAAGTCTACTGTTTGTTATCACTCTTCTTACCTGACCCCACATACGTGCGCCAGTACCACGATCCTGTGTATTGGGGTCAAGAAGTTCATTTACTGTCATAAAACATTTGGGAAATGAGCTTTTGCTACCACTCTCAATGTTTCTATCTCATTCGTGGTGTGCTTATCGTCATATTTGAGTGTTCCACTTATACCTGAATTGGTTTGTTTTGACAGTATTTTGTTTACCTTACATACCGCCGGCATGTTGTCCACCTCCAGACAAAACCTTTTCCATGCTTGTCTTTTGGCTTTCCTGACAGATTTGTGATACTCAGTAAGAGATTTCCTATATGTATCCCAATTGCCAGATTTTTTAGAAGCATTGAACAATCTCCTCATGAGTGCTCTTTGCTTTGTTAGACTATCATTCCACAAGGACACTTTCCTGTTGGTTGTAGTTTTTTTGACTTAGTTACTGGCCAAATATGCTCTAGTCATAGCATCAGTAATTGAAGTATTTAATATTTCTAATTGCCATGTATTGTGGATAACTTTGGGGCAGCATTTGACAGCCTCCTCCAAGTTAGAACTATAGGACACCCAGTTTGTTCGCTTGGGGTCTCTATATTCCACATCATGTTGTATTCTATCAGATATATCAAATCTGATATATCTGTGATCCGAGCATGTTTCTTCATCAGAGACATGCCAGTTATCTATAAGGACACTAGTCAATTGAGTCATATTTAAGTATCATAAACAGTGACCTACTTGCACTAAAAAAAAAAAAAAAAGACTTAGTGCTAGCCACCTAACATATATAACCTACAAACGTGCCCACAGGTAGGAATGGCTATTGATAGTCGATATTATCAAAATATCGATATTTTAAAAACAAAATCATTTTCAGAAAACGCTAAGAATTATATATCAACACGATCGTTAGAAAAAAAAATATACTCATCTCACCTGTTTCATATAGAATATAGTTTTTAATGGCGTAGTTGAGGAAAATATCGATATTTCAATAATATTGACTGTTGATGGCCATACCTAAGTATAGTTGAATAGCGCTCGTGGGATCCTTCTCACTCATTAAACTCAATTTGTTAGTTCGAACCTTCTAAAACCAAGACTACGAATGGTCAAAGAAATCTACGTAGGATGCAAATGAATCAGCATTTCGCTGAATCCAATCTGTGGGTGAATGGAAGGCATAATTGGTCGAATGAACATTTCTGAGAAAAAACTGAGGATGACGGAGATGGACAAGAACTATAAAATTAATTTTATTATCGAAAGTAGAAGAATTGATATGAGAAAAATAATATCTTTTTGGGTGTGCTCATCTGCAACATTTAATATTCGATATTTATATTCATAAACAAATTTATATTTATAACATAAGTATCGCCCTATAAAAGCTAGTTGTGGATAGATGTATTATGCCAGTCATGACCAATGGCTCCCAAACATGGTCATTAACAAAAGTCCAAGAGAGGAAGATCAAGATGTCGCAACATAGCATCAAAAGAAGCATTATGAAAGTAAAGAAGATAGATAAAATCAGATGCAAGAAGATAAAAGAAGAAACAGGGCTCAAAGACACACTCTCGCAAATAAGAAAAGGCAAATGGAAATGGGCTGGACATCTTCTGCGATGCAACGATAATAGATGGCCAAAAATAGTCACCGAATGGACTCCGTATGATCGGAAAAGGATGAGAGGCCGACAAATGAAGAGATGGAGAGATCCATTTAGACTTTTGGCAGGACCTCTCTGGTGGAGAGCAGCTAGGGACAGAGATGTGCAGAAAGAAAAATGGTTAAATGTTGGAAGTCCCGCTTCCCAGTAGGGCTAGTCACCCAGGGAAGAGTTAATGACTATTACTCCTAAGGGAAGGCCTATGCAAGAATAGTAAAAAGTTATGTATAAATTATAATAATGTAAAAAACATTGTTTTATTTTGTTTTGTTTTCTTTTGTAATTCTATGTTTTCATAGAAATTGTAATATTTAGCCATAAATAAAGGCTATTTTCATTTCATTTCATTTATATTCATATTCAAGAATGCTTATAATATCGATGAAAATATAAAGTATCGATATTTCAAGACCGAAATTTTGATGATATCAATAGCTGTAGGACGATATTAATATTGATATTGGGCCTTTGATATCCCATCCCTACCCACAGGTGAAAAAAAGGTTGGGGACCCCCTACTCTATAACTATTATTCTATAAAATAATGTAAGAAAAACATCAAAAGCTTCTTTCCAATAAATTTGAAGCTTCTGACCAGTTTTTCCAATAGTTTATTTCTTTTTTATCTAATAAAAATACTGTTGATAAAAAAAAAAAAAATAGTTTTATTTACCTGTCAGTAATTGTTGGTACAATGTCAGCCATTCTCACCAGCGCAGCTCCGTAGGGTGAACTCCAAGACCAAAGCGGCGGGCGACCGGAATTGAAATGTCGTCCAGCTTCACCAAGCTGCCAATCAAGAACTCTAGATGGCACCACTAACCACCGAGGTAAGCTATTCCCAAGTTAGAAATTTATATTAAAATAAATTAACATTCTTAATAAAATAAAAATATAAATTAGTAAATATCTGTTATATCTAATATTAACAATACTAATTAGTGAAAAAAAAGGATTGACTATAGTTTGATAGTTCAATTGATGGTTTTGATAATATTTACATCTTAACAAATAATCCTGCAATTTAAATATATGAATAGATATTTTTAAGTCCTTTTAGCAATAATCACAGATGGCTGCATTTGGAATTTCACTTTTTTCTTTTTTAAGCTCCAAAAATTATGTATCAGTAATAAAAATAAACACTCCTATACACACTTATAAAGAATCAAGGAAATTATGTAAGGTTGAGAAAAATACGGAATATACCACAAAAATATGACCAAGAACATTACATGAAAATGGAAGACTGCAAGATGGAATGAATCATAAAATCCTTGGATATGCAGATGACATATCTGTCTTTTGAAACAATCAAGAGGACACTGATAGACTTGCAATGAGTCACCCTAGAAATAAATAATAAAAGATTTGAGAGGAAAATCTTCCACATGATAACTGGAGTGGGTTCAAAGTAACAACAAATAGAGGACATATAAAGAACTGCTTACAGAAACTGATCAATCAATATCCTTATGATATGAAGGCAAGGAAGTTAAACTGGGTGGGACATTCATCTCGGGCCAATCCATCAGGAAACCTTTACACAACAATGAACGTCTCAATAGCAAGTGAGAGAATGCCAAAAACCAGATGAATAGATCGAATCAACTAAGATGCAATGGAGCTGCGTGCATATAGCTGGAAGGAAATAGCCCAAGATAGGCAGAGATGAAGTAAGCTTGTTAAGGCAACGAAAGATCTACAAGGTCTGTAAAGCTAACAGAAAAAAAAAAATAATAAAAACTATTTGGAAGCACATAGAAAAAATTCAGAGTTAAGTAATAATATAATTCAATAAAAACACAAGATATAAAATTCTTAATACACCAAATCAATTTTCATTTCACACACAAAAATATGCATATTTTAACAGACTAAAATATTAGACTTTTAAAAAATTGTGATGCCAGTATTATTATCAACATTCTTTTAACTACTAATTTTATCTATAGTACTATCGAACTAACATCAATCCTAGTGAAAACTCTTCAAAGCCTGTGCCTACATGTGATGAATACGTAAGTTACTATAAATACACTAACAAAATTTGCATCAATCCATTATCAATAACAAATTACATAATAGGAGATAATAAAGCGATGGAAAATATAAACTGATACTCTCATCCTACCTGGAAAACATCTGGAAATCATGATTGGCTGCTGATAATCTCCAGCCTTGGGCTTGAGTTCTCGCTAACTCTTTACCCCAGTCCCCTGCATCGCGGAACATCACAGTTTCAGACGAACATGGATACTGCGGCTCACTATGAAATGAACAGTAATTTAAATTTATTCCATGAAAAAAATTCAGATTAAGTAGAATTTTTCTATACGATACTTTATATACATCTACAATATAAGAAAAATTATAACAAAACACCATACCTATAATCATAGCCAAACAGCAATTGATGCCTCTTGGGAAAAGCGTGGTGCAAAAGAGCATTAGTAAGGGTTTTTCCATGGCCCACCGGAGAAAATTTGAAGCTGAATGATAACATTCTCATGTTCTTTGAAACAAAAACAAAACAATACAAAAGTTATTATACTTGTATACATGATAATCAGATGTATTATTACAACACGTTTTAATCAACATAGGCAGCTCATATAAAAAAAGTAAAAAGTAAATATTCAGAAATCATATGAGGTGGTAGGGTGGGGAGAGATAGCTTATTTAAAATGTTTGTTTATGGCTAGATTAGGTCGCATATCTTCAATTCTAATCCCTACCACTTCCGTTTCTTGCTGGAAAATAATCGATTGATTATAGATATTTATGAACTTTATTTCAATCGGTATTGATCATTAAAAATTGCTCCACATCGATGGGAAGGCATAAGATCATACAATAAATGACCGATTATTGACAACAGGTGCACAGGAATGATCGCAAATTATTTATACTAGTAGGCCTGCGCAAAAAATTCGCACATCATATTGTTATCAAATGTTAAATTTTTTTTTTTTTAAGCTTATTTATTGAAAAATATTACAATCTGTCTCAAGGACATTTATAATGGTGTTCACAGATCACACAAATTAATAAGAAAATAAAATAATGCAACGTCTCAAAAGATAAAGAAATCAATTGTTAGTTTACCGATAAAATAATCGACAAAGAAAACAAAAAATAATTTAAATCTCCATTAATATTTGGAACTAACATGTTAACAAATTTCAATAAGCTGTATTTTTGCTAAAAATTATCCTAGGGAATTTAGTAATCTTTTATATAATTATGGGCATAACCAAGGGAAAAGTGTGTACTTTTTTAGTTATTCGCAAATAAAGTTTGTTTTCTTTCATAACTTGTTTGCCTGAATTTTCGGGATGATACGACTATTTTGTCCGCCTGAAGGAGAAGGAAGCCTTCGAAATTGGTGGCTCAATCTTGAGATTTAGTGAAGAATTAACAATGATATGGCTTGCCGATCAAAAACACAATCGATAAATAATATAAACTCCTCCTCTCTCGATCATAGAGACCTAAAGTCGACGAAATGAGACATGTATTCAATGACAGTACTAAAATTAACATAAGGTTGTGTGGATGCGAACCCTTGCGTTATCTCAAAAATAGTACGTTTTTGGGCTTAAAAATGCAGGATCTGTTAGTTCCGAAGGCTGTCCATTCGGCTATTCTCAGAATTCCATTTATATTATGATCATGTGATCTTGAGATTATCATTAAAGTGGACCAACAATAGTAGTACCGATTATAAGCATTCATGAAATTAGATGTTTTTTTTTCTAATAATATTTTTAAACTACTAAGAAGTTGAAAAGTGGATAATCTAATCATAAACAAACATTCGGAACAAGAGGCTTCTGACCACTCCTAATAAATAGTTAGCAAATAAAAGGGAACTAAAGAATAAAATTATAAATAAATAAAAGAATAAAATTACCTTGCATATTATATGAAGGCCCTTAACTTTTTCTGTTATGTTTCTGCTGTCAGGCACTAGTTTCCTCTTTTTGTCCCCAAACAAGTAAAGAGCATCAATATTCGACAAGCAAACATCATTTTCACCTAATTGAAGTACGTCTTGAAAAGCCACTTCCTATAAAAGTAATAAATAATATAAGAAATTAAACAAATTTGTAAATCTTTCTATTTCACACAAGTAGAATAAAAATACATGAAATGTACTGATTTTAAAATTTATTTTTCTTTAATTCTTTTGAATTTATGGATTAATATTGTAGTTATTAATGTTGTAGCATTAGTAAGTTAGTCTTTACCGTTTTAACTTTTCATTTGTTTTTTTTCAATTTAACCAGAAATATTATAAATGAATTCCTTCATAATTAGTGTGCTTAATAGTACATATCAATAATGTTTAAATTAGAAATATAGATATTGTGTTTATTTCAATGTTTAGCACATATTGTAACTTACACATTTGTTAATAGGAAGAAGTTGAGGTGATTAGAACAAAATTCCCTTTTTTAAATGAAAGGTAATTTATTACTAAGGAAAGATAGTAGTCGCCTACGTATACTTTCAGAGACACTCAGCTAATTTTGGCATTTCATATACAGTGTAATCGATGTGATCTTGGCACACCCTCCCTCCAGCCAGAAAACTTGTGAAGAAGTACCAAAATTGGAACAATTTGATATCTCAATAAAGAAAGAGTAATATAAATAATGTTCATTAAATAATACAACAAAAATAAATAAATAAAATAAAACAAGAACCATAAAAAATCAGAATCAATATTTTAATAAATCAAATAGTTACTACTTCACAAGTATTACTCCACCACGATGAGGAGGCAGAAGAACCCATGATCACAATGCTAATAGATTTTCGATAATGGTTAAGTATTTCTAAAAGTAGAGGAAAGTAACTGAACCCTCTTTTAAGGTAAAGTTTAGCCAATAGATTGAGATTTGAAGATAATTATAAGAGATGGATCACAAAGGCCTTCACAACATAAAAGATTATTGGTTTAACACAGGATAGGTACTCTTACTCAAAATGATGAACTTTTTGAATGATGAAATTAGTTTCCCGGGTCTCCTTTTTCTGGCACTCTCTCCTCTCAGCTGTGCCATCTCCACCTATTTCACAAGTGATCCTCGACCATGGAAAAATCTTGTGAGATAAAATAAATTATGGATTCTACCATTTTACCTGTTATTTATGTTGCAGATAAATAAGTAGCAAACTTTAATTATGAACAGAAGAAAGTTGACGATGACTGTTGAAGACAATCTAGAGGTATTTCACGAAATTTTATTTGAGAAGGGTGGAGAACATATTTTAGAGACTGAAGACGACTACCATTCTAAATTCCACTCAAATGAGGGCGTCGACTTTGTTGTAGATGAAAACGACGTAGTCGCACACATTTTTTTAGATAATACGATAGACGCAGAAAAAGGCACTAAAAACTTAAAAGGCTGTCAAGATAAGAATACTCTTTAAAAAAAAAAAGTTATAATTATGTTATTAGGGTTATGGTTGTTTCAATTGGTTTAGCTACATATATCATAAAAAGATTAATTAACAGTTTTATTAGAATTATATTATCTTTAAGAATGAAAAAAAAAAACAACAAATCTTTAAGAAGAGACTTCATCCATTTGAAGATGAGATAACCTCGTCGTAAATTACAATAGCGATACCTTTGCTGGGCTAACGATAAACATTGGAAATAAAAGTTAAAACAGAACATACCTCTTTTGACTTTTCATCAGCTGTGATGAAAGATAGCTTGAAGTTAGTAACGCAGAGCAGCCCAGACTTTCCTTGCTTTCTTTCTCGCACTTGTGCAAACATGAGAACATTCTGTGCTTCAGAGACAAGTGATTCACCTGTCATCAAACATACAATTTCTATAGCTCTGATTTACCACAACTGTTACACACACAAAAAAAATTCTTATTTACCAGGTAAAAGTCGAACAGTCAACTGATCTGAAAACGAATCTTCATTGCTTGTGTTCAAATACTGTAAAAATTGGATACATTAGTCATTTGGAAATGATATATACAAGTTCTTCAGAGAAATAAAAAGAAGTTTTGAAATAACTGAATTTGACAAGTCACTAATAAAACAAGATACTTCCATAGTTAAAACTTAATGTAACAACACAGAAACAAAATAAACAAATGTTATTGGACTTGAATGACATAATTAGGAGAAATTAATGGAATTTATCTTGATTATAGAAAAAAAACTCACATCATCGTCTAACCCAACATAGCTCTTGAAACTGTTTGTTAATCGTTTGTCCGCCATAATATAAATACATTTGATATTATAAATTATTCACAACAAACTTACGCTAAACTAAACTAAATACTTAATTCAAATAAACATTCCCAAACTTAACAGAAACCATCAACAACAGCTGATAGCTGATTAACGGTTCTCCCGCTAGCTTGTTGATAAGTTTTCGGTGGTGTCATGCTGGGCCCACACTACAGGCAAACTCGGTTTGGCAAAATTTCTGGCAAACTTGCGGCAAAATAAGGAACTAATCGAAGCTCGTTAACCATGGAAAATGTGCTCAGTAGGACGGAGTCAGTCCAAGCAAACAACATGGACCTTCTAGAATTGCCGTGGAGTTGATTGCTACTTTTGGTTATGTCTTCTATAAAATAAAAGCAAGTAGAAGAAAATAAGTGGAGAAAACAAAGAAGATGACAGATGTCGAAAATTCATGAGAATCATACAAGGTAAGCATAAAATTGATCTTAGTTTTCCTTATTAATATCAGTTGTTTATTTCTTTGCTATGACATTTCTCTATAAATACATTTTACCTTGTTTTTCAAAATATATTTCTGTAAAGCTAATTAACGCGATTTTATGTAATTTTTCACACACAATTGCTAGGATTGTCAATTTCCTTCCGTTAAACATAGTCAATTATTAATTCTCTAACCAGTGAAAATTCTTGATATATCCTCCGTTTACTGCATTCAATTCATGCACTATGTGCATATTTGATATAGGTTAACTTTCAAGATTTTTTTTTTTGAATTTTGACTTTATTTACCTATACAAAAACACTGTATGGGCATGGAAATGAAACAAACCCTTTTATACATCAATTATACTTACAAGAAGCACACAATTTTCTGATTTTATAAAGAAAAAGATATTCAAAGTTCTTGATTACTTAAGAAATAATGAATTTTCACTTAATTACTTTGCAATGAGCTGCCAATATTTTTTGAATTATTTGATTCAAGGAATGCATTTAAAAATTTTTTTCTTCATTTATTTATGAGGTTCTTTGATTTACTGTATAGACATTTTTTACAATTTAGTGAATGGTTAATTCCTCTTTTACTAAATTTGCAAGTGTTACTTTATTATTTTTCAATTCAAACAATCAATTAAGTCTGTAGTAAGTTAATTTAGTTCTATTTTCTTTTCTAACGTCCAACTTAAGTACATCATCTCAAAGGAAACAATGGACAAGGGGTGTTAATTATTTAGCATTTAACTGGTTATTTATATTTAGTTAATTGGAAGTTCATTGTTAGTTTTCGATATCCCTCCTAGTCTATGATTAAGTTATTTTTTTTATACTTTTTCATATAGCAAAACAATGTACATAGGGTAATGACTATAAAGAGAAAATGCCCTATGATGCCTTAGCCATTCTGTCTTGTTTCCTTAACCCTCCACATTATCTGTTTACCCGTAACAAATTATTTATTTTCTTCTGTTATGAATTTGATTCCATTGTTTCCTATTTCAATTAAGGATTAGTTTTGTTTTTTCCTCGACTTTCATTATTAATGTAAATGTTACATAGCTTTTATTTGTTCTCTGTAAAATTGAGTCTTAAAGTGTGCCAGACATAGATCCTCCTCTAAAAATGAAAATCTCAACTAAATGTGTTATAAGCATCGCAAAAAATAGAAGGGAAAAAATTATAACGAAATTAAAAAATCTGATTTTTTAGTTGGATGATACCAGGCCTAAGATTGGTAATTTTTTTTTTTTTTCAGCGTTCCCCTACTGTTGAGTGTGAACATGAAGGACAGGCTGAAGTACTCGATGATTCATCTTTATTGAACAACGGTATGTATTGCAGCCTAAGACAAAAAATAAATCAAACAAAGGCGAAGAGAAAATTATGGCCCCGTTCAATAAACTCGTCCAAATAATAGAAAAACAGTGCGGAAATACAAATAAACCCAAAACAATTGCACAGAATTATGGGTCCATGTTAGGAGAAGGGTTGGACCAATTACTTCAACCAGAACAAAGTTTGTGCATATGTGAAATGGAACAAGGCTTGGGGAAGATGTGTGCGGACTTTGTGGAATAAAAATATTTGTAATATTGAAACCAGCACTAGTTTAAACAAAATGGCAGCCTGTGCCCGTGGTATTGCGAATGCACCATAAAGAGTGATTTTCCAGCAACATGCTGGGCCATTTAAAAAATATAAAACAGACACTTTTTCTGTAAATACTAGTAAGGTTGTACCTCCAAAAAGACATATTATTAATAAAGCCTTTTTAAAGGTGTTTGAAGAAGATGGAGAATAATCCAGTAAATTATTAGAATACTCATTAGTTATTCAGATTTTTCTGATGCATTTAAAAATGCTTTATTTGTAATGTTAAATTCCTTTATTCATGATGTATAAACAAAAACATATCTTGTATTCATTAATTTGTATGTTGTATTAATTCATTTATATTTTGTATTGTATATTTGAACCTAAAAATATTTATTTGTCCATTAATAGAATTTCTATTTTGTATAATAATAACAAAGTTAAGATATAAAGATTAATTTTCTAGCAACATTATAATTATTAAATTTAGTTTATGTATATGATTTATTATATTTTGCAAATATATGGGTTGTATGTATTATAAATAACATCTTCCATCATTTCCCTTCAAACATATATATTACAACTTGTGTATAAATAACCAATAAATGATAGGTATATGTCAAATTTCTAAAATTAAAAATGCGAATAACAAAACAAAGGCAGTCTCACTATGTGGTTAAAATTTCCACACTTAGACTTAATTGTTATTTTAATCAGACAATGTTTTATACAAATATAACTTTTTTAGGCTTAGGATGGTTGATTATTTATTGAAGTAGGCATCAAAATTGGCACTGTATGATGTTAGTCTCTAACCATGATACAGTCATTTAATTACAAATATAGTATTGTATTATGGTGTTTCAATATGTGCTTAAAATGTTATTAATGCAACTTTATTAGAGTCTAGGTTAGTAATTTTGTGAGTTGTTCGGTTTTATTTGAACTGAAGATATAGAAAAAAAAAAGAGATATAGCTTAACACTAATGTCTGTGAAATGTAAAATTAGTAGACAGCCTGACACAAATATGGACACTGAAAAAGAAACTAATCATTTAAAAAAAATAATGAATACTTGTTTTCAACTCTCTAAATGTAGAACAAGCATAGGTTAAAAAATAAATAAATTTTGAACTTTTTTTTTTATATTGACTGTAAATAATATTTGAAAATGGATATTATTTTATTTTAATGTAATGCGAAGTATTGGGATCATTAAAAATTTCAACTCTGAGTTTTCAATTGAAAAACATGTTGTAGGGTTCTGTAAGCACTTCCCTGTATAAAAAAAACTTTTTGCGTAATGGTTTTTTTGTGTAAATGCAGAATCAAGCTAAAAATTGAAAAGTTAAGTGATTATACTTATTTATTAAGGTTGATAGGAGTATGGCAGCGATGTAATTGCAAATTGTTGGCTGAATTAATTTTACCAAAAGTGGAACTTGACATAATTGGTTTTATAGAGTATTTCAATTGAACTATAAAACGGAAATAAATAATGAAGAGTAGTATTAGATGAAGAAGAAACATGAAATGGAATAATAAGATCTAAATAATAAAATGTAATTAGATGAATTAACAAAAGCTTAGTTTATGATAATAACAGGTAATGAATAAGTACGAAAGGTTATGATATATATGCCTTACACACAAAAAGATGATAAGTACAAAATGGCAAATATATGGAAATATAATAAATCAAATAAATATATATAAGTAATGAAAAATGGCAATAATAAGTAATGGATTAAAAGTTTTGATATTTAAAATATATTATGTAAAAATGTTAAAAGATATAATATGTTATATTTCATATCTTATTTGATTTTATTTATATGAATCCTTCTGCTAACAAACTTCCATAATTCATTTAATGGTAAATAATATCTTCATTTAATTTTTGTAGTTTATAATGATTTGTTTGTTATTACTGAAAGACAGAAAGTTAGTTGCACAGAAAATTTTGATTTTGAAAAGATTTTGATTAAACTCGTGTATCGTTGTATAATTAAGTGGTCTTTAATATCATTGAGGTCTTATCCCCATTAATGTCACTTTACATAGCTTAAATGCCGAAATGTTCAACATATCTTCCTCTAAAGTACATTTAATTTGATTAATCGTAAATAATTAACCATCTCTCATTATTAATAATTACCAAAAAAATGCTAAATATAACTTTTGAAAGAATTTGATAATTGAAAAATGAAGAAAAAAGGGAAAATGTGTATTGAGGATGAAAATGAATTTCCGGAAATACTTGTCAGAAGTTATATCGTTGGAAAGCGGATAATTTTAGAAAAAAACAATATGAAATATAGAAAGTAATGGAGAGAAATTATTATAAATAATAATTTGTGTAAACTAATATTATTTTACGGAAATCACATTTTTTCAAGGAAATTAAATAAATGAAATTTACTAACTAAATTTAAATTGTTTTTAAGTTTGAAAAAGTATTTAAAATTCACCTAATCAACGCAATGTTATTGTTAAAAAACTATTTCATAGTACTAATGTGAAAGAAGTGAAATTTAAAAATATTAAATGGATGTATAAAGCCTATGTTTATAACCTTAAATACATTTACTGTAGTTTAATAATTCTAAATCTGATATTATATTTAAATAATTAGGTATCAACGTCCGTTGATCGTCGTATAACATTTAAAAAAATTAAATTAGTGAGTAATTTGATGAATTTTCCCTTTGTTAAATTAGTGTAACAACTTTTGAGCTATCTATGACAGGCTATGAAAATCTCGTAATTTCTTTGTAGTAAACTTTACAATGGAAAGTAACAGTTTAATAACTAATAGGCGTAGAATCCATAATAATTTATAGGTTGAATATAGAGATATGCTTGAAAATCTCTCTAGACATATGTATATTGCTCAGAGACCGGAGTTATATGGTTTACGAAAAAAGATGGGGTAGGGAGGTTTTTATTATCTACCGTTGATATAATTAATAGGGTTTCTGTTATTTTAGGGATGATAATGATTAGTTAGCTGTAGACCTTTAAGCTATAGAT